GCTGTTGCCGCCGCTCGCCGCTGCTTCCTCGATGATTAATTTTTTGTTAATAGATTAATAATATATTATTTTGATTTTAATGTTGTTAATTTTTATTTATTTGAAATTATTAATTATATTATATATTTTTATATTTTAGCGCCTCGCTTCGCTCGGGCGAGCGCCTGGGCGAGCGCCTAGCGCCTCGGGCGTTTGTGGACCTTGGCGCCTTTTGGCGCCTAGCGCTTTTTAAATCACTGACATGGATGTTTATTGTGCAATAGTGCAAGTGAAGATGACAGAGAAATTTGTGTATAAGGATGCGTGCATGGACCCTCTCTAGATCCAATGGTGGAATTTCCTGCACCGGGTTCACCATTTGTGTTGGGTTTTAAATTTGTACGTAGACATCTGAAATTTAAATAGTTAGATTTGAGTCACCAGCCTTGATTAGATTATGTTTCGTGGTTTATATATAGCACGTCGAGGTGCCAGCATCTCTTGAAGCCTAGGATTGAGATGAGGCAACAATACTAGTACATCTCTTGAAGCCTAGGATTGAGATGAGGCAACAATACTAGTACTAAAAGTAACTTAAATATGCAATGAGTTTATTTAAGTTTTTCCTGTAAACAATTTGTTTCATTATCTCAAAAGAAGCAATAGATTAAAGATGATGAAGAACAAGATGAAGAGGGAAACAACAGTAGAAGATAACAAAGGAAAGAAGAGCCGAATGAAAGGAGAATATAGATGAGATTGACAATTTGATATTTCAATTATTCAATCTCCTTTTTTTTAATGAAGGAAAATATGATTTACCCATTCTATTTGTAAATTTAACATAATTCTCTTGCATCACAAAAATCTTTCATTAGTGATGAAGAATGGATTATATCTCAAATTGATAGAGGCATGCTTTGTTGGTGATTGTTCTTGGAATAAAAGAAGTCAGTAAAGGCTATGAGACTTGTTCGAGCGAGGCTCAAAATCTGCTTTAGTGGGTCTTGGAGCCATAGCATGACATAAGTGTGTCTTTGATGGCATTGGTAGTTTGTAATTATCAGGCCTAGTGGCCTCTTTTCTCTTTGAATATTAAATTTGCTACGTGAAGAACAAAATGCGATATAGGTTTAATGTCAAAAGCAAATTGAAAGATATGGATGTTGGATTAAACCTAAGAGGTGGTTGAGTAACAAGTGGATGTCCAGCGAAGTTGAGGGTGCAGTTGGTAGTTCTGTTGAGTCTTGAAACCACATATTTCTTATCCTTTTTTCTTCCCGAAAACTCAATATACTTCTGTTTTTATGGGAATGTGACCAATTTTAATTCTTTGCTTACCACTTATGGTTGGAATTTACAATCCTCCTCTGACATATAATTTTCATCTAAGAGATTATTTATAAAAAAAAAAGAAATCCCTTAGTTACCTTGCTTAGTTCATTTTTTTTCAGATATATGTTGTGCGTGGATCTCTCATTAGTTTTGATGGATGGAAGAGAAGACTTGGATCTGAGCATGTGTCGAGAGTGACTGTTGAAGTTTGATATGGTCCATAGGGTTTTAGCCTTCCATGTTAGTCACCCAAAGTTTCTGATAGGGTGGTTTGTTGTACCACAAAAACGTTATCTTTTGACAACAAATCACAAACTCTCATTTCTCCCCATCTGGCCAATTTTTATACTTTTTATTTGCTGTCTTTTGTGGTCTTGCGTGTTCTGAACCAGATTTTACTTTGTATCTTTCTGGCTCATGGTGGTGACGGTGTGGTATAAAAGCCATACGTATCTGTTGTGCCAAATGCCAGCAGCATGCCTTTATTATTATTATTTTTTGTCTTAAAATATGCCGTATTAGTAATATCTTTTGATGGTGAATTTAGAGAAATGGTGAAGAATCAGTTTTCTTTAAAGGCCTATTAGTGTGAGATGATCACTGTTTGTTGTTGCTTATGGTCCAAAGTTTCTACATCATCTACTTGCAGCTGTGATGCAGACTGAAGGATACAACTATTTGGAGGGAACGTGTCCGTCGGTGCTTGCAGAACTTTTGGAAACTGTTGCTGTTGTGGATAACGATGCTGGTCAGGTGTGCCGAAAGAGGAGCAGTAGCAGCAACCTGGGGATGAATTCAATGGACAGTGTTGATTTGAACGGGGGGAGGCGATTGCGCAGGCGGATGTAGCAGTTAGGTCTCTCAAAATTCAAATGTAACCTTTGATGTGCGTAAGCCACCTCGCACACATGCATTCTGATTCTGTTGTACATTTGTGTCATGAGGTTGTTCGACTGACTTGTGTCTAAATACAACTCTATTAGCTTATTTCAAACTTTGCTTCCTTTTTGGTTATCATCAGTGCATCTTTTTGTTTGTTCCCGCGGGGGCGGGGGGAGGGGAGAGAATAATTCATCCTGTTGTTTTAACCTGTTAAATAATTGTTTCTGCACAATTATTTAACCTGTTATTTATTTTTCTTCTGTTGGCGTTCAAAGACACTACTTAGTCAAGCAAACCCAGGTAGAAACTCGCGCGATTTAAGGCAAACCCCATCCATCATAACGTGATTGGCACGTAACTTTCGCTGAAAAAAAAAGAAAAAAAAAAAGCTGCATCAGAGGCCTAAGATCATCAATTCATAAAAGCCAGGCCACAGCTATCTCATTCACAAGGAGGTGGAAAATAGTTTAACACATATAACATACATAAAATATTATGTAAGTATTTTATATATTAATTATAAAAAAAGAAAAAAAGAGATTAATTATATATTACGTCTAAGTATTTTAATTTTTATATTTTAAAATATTATGTAAAACATTTAGGTTTATTTACGTTAACGTTATCAATTTTATCAACGAAAATATAAAAACAAATAACAAAAAAAATATAATTTTGACGTACTAATTGATGGTGGCAGACGATGTCAGTGGTGATGGACGACGACACCATAGGTGGTTGTTGTGAACGACAAGAATAGTGACAAGAGATTAGGACCGTTCTACATCTACGTCAACAATCTTTTTGTCGCTTCATAATTACATCGATATCAACGTCGACATAATTATTGAGCGATGAAAGGATCGTTCGACATTTGCATTAATGTCGATGCAAATACAAAATAACATCATTTTGTATTTACATCGATGTCGCCATAATTACTGAGCATCCCTCACATCTCGATGTCATTTTTCTCATCCACGATAATTACTCGTGACCCCCAATGTCACCATCATCCGTCACCACCAATTGAAATATTAAAATTATCTTTTTATCCTTTGTTTTCGTATTTTAATTGATAAAACCAACGATATTTGAGTAAATAGACTATGATATTTTACTTTCGTAACTATAGAAATATTAATGTAATTTTTTAAAACGTAGGAACCAAAATACTAAATATAGCTAACCACAAAAGATAATATATAGTTAGAAAAAAAATGAACTATGTAATGAATATCGTGCATTCATTCACAGGCTACTTAGACAAGTTCTATGTCACCTGCCTGCTATCTCAAACCAATAGGTATGTTCATAAGCAATAACAATGTGCTTTGAGCGACACCTGTTACAATTCACCAACATACAGTTTGCACTATCCACACATTTGTTCAGATAATAACACATGGAACTTCCAAGTTGCAAACACCGAGAAGAACACGTCACATAAGTGGTAAAACTCATGATATGGATGAAGTGACATAGACGAAATTTGATCAAAGGATCTTGGCATGACCTATAAAAGTCTTTATTAACTAAGTTAGCCAACACCTCCCATGATTGCGATTAGTCAGTCATATTTAAAACCATCACAATGGATCAATTTAAGTTTACCAATGCAAGAACCATAACAATTTAGGGGGGGAGAAAAAAAATCCATCAGTGCAAAATGCTACCATTGTGATATATCAGTAACATATTTGGCAAGGCAAGTTTCAGATACTAGAGAACCAGGCTGGAGTACTAAAATGGTGCACAATAAGTAATATTAATGAATTTACATATTGCCCATAACAGTGCTCGTGATCATAAAAAGGCTCCATGAAGAATAGTCTACCTCTGGTTGCGTACATCATTTTGATATTTCAGCCTGACTAGATACTTTGCAGGAACATGTGGCCTGCATTTGTGTCCAACATTGTGTCCCTGCTGCACTGTATTATAGGATAAATTGTCATTAGAACACATGATTTAAACTAAAAAAAAATCTGCTAGTGATACTACCGAACATTTAGCTCCAATAATGGTTACATTTTATTTATTAGGAATAGGCTCGTGCATTCCCTTAGCGATGTGTTGATGTTGTCATTTGTATCTCTTTGGTTCATGTCCATCATCTTCCTACCATTGTGTCTTTTAGCTATATGACGTCATCGTTTCTTCATTAAATGACCTCGAATACTACTCTTGGACTAAGAACTAGTTGGAGAAATCATGAATCCTTCAGCTTTTGATACACACATGGACCTTCGTTGGAACCAGAAGACTTCCTAATTCCAAAACACACATTCACTTTTGCTCTCGTAGCGAAAAATCAATAAGCTTCCCCACAGAGCTATTATCAAATGCATCATCCCCGTATTCAGATCCAGCAGTTCTGAAGGTGATAATTGAACTGACGGATCTATCATCTATTGACATTGATGTGCAAGAAACCGGCATCACATTTTCCCAACTTAGTCCAAATGTTTTGCGTATTCTAAACCTTAATAGAAACTATAAATAAAGGTCTAAGTACTCTAGACTTAACTAAGCATATTACTTTTAAAATAGCTCAATGATAGCAAAAGATCTATGTAGCCGATCCTAAATAATTGAGACTTTTGGTTTTGTTCTTGTTGTTGTTGTAATCCAAATGCTTTGTGTGGCTCTAACTCAATAAGAAAGCTAAAAAATTTGCCATCTACCATCAAAATTGACTTCCCAGCATACTTCCTCTTTTATTTCCTTGTATGTCATCACTCTGACGCTAAGATAGCTGCCATCACGATCTTGATCAGGAAAAGATAAAGAATTCGAAAGGACTGATTGAGAACTTTAGCTATGGTATTTGAGTGGTTAAGAGAGCATGGTGCATTTCATTGGAAGCTAACAATAGATGATTGAACCTTGCCATTGTTGCATTTTAATCGGTATACAGCATCATATCTTGACATTTGGTCGACCATGAGAAAAAGCACTATGCTAGAATTAACAGTCAAAAGCTATCACGAATGAGCTGAATTAAATGAATCAAAAATTGAGGATGAAGCTATCATATAATGGTGAGAGATGTTAAGTGATTAAAGGAAAGGAGTAACAAATCAACCTTTATGCTTTATGATGCTTCTTCCTCTTTCTCCCCCATGATTCCCAATAAAAAACCAACAACATACCCCACTGACCAATCTTTCTCATGCTCGAGATCTCAAAGGTAATCGATATCTTTCTAGCATTTTTACAGCTAGCTAGCACATATTTGTATCATCGTTTCATGTAGGCACCATCTTATCGACCGCTCCATAAGATTTCCCAAGGAAAAATCCAGGAACGTACTCCCACTGACCAACCTTTCTCATGCTCGATCTCAAAGTTAATCGATATCTTTCTTGCCTCCTAAAAGCTAACACAGATTTCTATCATCTTTACATGTGGGACATTCTAATCAACCGCAGAGTTAACACAAGTATTCCAAGAAAGCGCTATTGTAGGTATCATCATGCTTACCTTTTGACGCTTATCCCTCTTCTACCGCAAGATCTCTCAAGAAAACCCCAAGAACGAACTCTACTAACCAATCTTTTACCGATCTACCCAGCTAAGAGAGGGAAACGAAATCTTCAGAGGAAGAAATCATAATACACTACCGATTTTGGCGATTCCGTGCCCTTCCAGGAAGACGGGAGCCAAGCGAGAGAACCCTGTCCGATCAAGAACTCGTTCTTAAGAGGTTGTTGACGAGGGAACCGCAGCGATCTCAAGAAGTGAGAGAATCGAGGGTGGAGCAGGTTACCGATTTGGATTCTCCGATCACGGCGTGAGAAAAAGCGGCTCCCGCGAGGGCGATGACGAGGTCGCACGATGGATCGGAGCCACCCTCCACCCCACTCCACCACCAAAAGCTTTGAGCTCTTCGTGTCTTCTCCGTGGCTTTTTGGCGGACGTCAAGCGGGCGAATAACTGCATTTAAAACTTCACAAAATACTTGTCTTTTCTGTTTTGCTGTACGCTCTCGCTTTCCCTTCTTGTGATTGGAGGCAACAACCGGGCCTCTGCGGGACCCACACGAGGAGACGGACCTCATGTCAAATAGACTCCCTCCAACTTTGTTTTATTAAGTTAATCAAATAAACAAAACGAATAATCCAAATAATGTATTTAATAACTCAGGAGGGCGGAGGCAAATTAAAGAATGATGATATAAAGGATATGGCCATTTCTTCAATATATATATATATATATATATATATATATATATATAACATTTTATAGGATAATGTAATTTTAGATACTGATACAAAAATATGGGTTTTAATCTACAGATATGGATAAATCTCATACTTCAATATTAAGTATTATTTTGTAACTTAAGAGTAGTAATTTCTAATGTTTCTTATTTTTTTTTATATTGGTTTTGAAGTTTCTTTTCCCAAGATTCTATATATCACGTGCTTTAGGTTGGTTCATTTTTGACCCGTTGATTTCATCCACCCATGATTCTTATTAATGAAAAATGGTTTTCTTTGGAACATCGCAGGAGATAATAATATGGATTAGGAATCAATCAATCAGCACATGAATAATTTTCTACTCTTAGTTTCCAACTCGAAGAACAACAAAGATTGTATCAGAACTACTACGTACACTAACTTCATATCTAATTTTTCCTTTTATTAACAGACAACATTAAGCTATAAGGTTTGTTACAGAGCCAAGAGTGATCAAAGCTACAAGACCCCGCAGGAGGCAGCTGGGTTTTCATACATCGAAGAAAATTTAATGCAGAAGGTTGCGATTACTTCCAAGCATATTACAACGCCAAGAACCATATGATCATCAGAATCAACAAAATTAAGAGCATGATGCACCGAATTGGCACTATAGACTTCCATTTTAAAACATCTAACAAGCAGGCATTTCTTATCCTTAAAATCCATTTCATTCCCCAGTTTATTTATGAACAAATATGATCCACCAAGTCAGAGCAATACCACCCAAATAATTCTTGTTCATCCCCACTAACAAATTCAAATTATCACCAATTAAGCTTCTAAGAAGAAAACAAAGTGGATTATAAGGGAAAAAAATTAATAATCTAGATGCTAATTTTCAGTTAAGTCTTCACCATTCAAGGTCCTGCAATAGCTGCATGCTTCTACATATTATGCACACAACAATTCGTCCCCAGAAATCTATGCTTTACTCACTAGCAACCATCTGGCCATGAGTTCGTCGGGTATCACCATACTCCTAGTGAAAGCAAGTACTGAATTTGCAAACCACTAACCTGGAAGACATGAAAAGTAGACAAAAGTTAACTCATCCAGCTAACTATTAAACAGTTTAGTTTCACCTACAATGAGTGAAGAGTCTAAACACAACTGAAATATATGCCATGAAGATCAGGATACACAGAAGATATGCTGTCAACTTTTAGAGGATGATCATGCTTCCCACCCAGATTTTAATGCTATGTTTACCACGTGAAAAGAAGTTTGCCTCTAGGTCTAGGGAAAAATATACTTGATAAATAACATATATCTAAAAAGAGCTAAAGCAACTTATTTAACATATGGAAAACTAATCAGATTCAGTAGCTATGAGATCATAGAGAGACATACTAGCTTCAGCCAATAACTTTAACCCTCATATAGATGCCTTGGATCTGGGTCATAATTTTTCAAAACATGGACTGGATGTTTCATATTTAATTCCAAGGTGATGGGTATGCTACATCGTTCTTCTCCAGCTTATTTAGTTAGTAAGACGGTTTTCGATTTTTTCAATTGTCTGAACAGAATACACATTTTAAGAGAATTATCTAGCATCTACTGAAGCATATCAGACCACAGAAAAATGGTTCAAGTGTGAATATATTGCTCTTGCAGCACAGTTACCAGACACCAAGCAGCATTAAGTTGTCAGACAAATATTAATCTAAACTGATTCAAGAGTACTTACAGGGCAGTTAATCACAGGGAGGAAGATGAAGTCATAGATTGTAACGCACAGAAACATCTAAAACCGCTGGGATTTGTGCATAAGTTGTGAGCCAACTGCAGGGAGCGATAACTGCTCTGAACTTGGTGAAGGTTTTATTGAGTGATCACTTCCCGAATTGTTTATGGCCTGTTTATTTGTGACCTTAGCACCACTTATATCTCCATCTGATTGATGTGTTTCAGCCAACTCTCTTATCTGATAAATTTTGCACTTCAATTAGTACTTAGCAGAGATCTTCAACATGATGGTCTACAAGGAAAACATAATACATCAAAAGCTTGCCAAGAAGCAAATGAGAGAAGGTTACCATTTCCAGCCGTTGTTTATGGATATCCAAAGGCAACTGCAATTTAGAATAATAAAATTAGAACTCCTCTAATCATCTGAGGAAGCTCATGCTGATCAAGTAACAAAATATTGATAAAGATACAAAAAAGGTTACATGTCCCTCCAAGATATTTATAAATTACAGATATGAATGGAAGCAAGCAAAGAAACTTGAAAACAGGATTTGTAAGTACACGAAGAAAAGCATTAAAATTCAGGATGGCAACCATAGGGGAAGGGTTCTCATGTTTGTCTTTGGAACAAATATTTGTGATGACTCTAGATCTAACACGAGATCAATTGCATGGCAACCTTATTAAATTTCTACATTTCCCACCATAATAGTAAACATAGCAATCAACTCACTAAAACTATTATACAATTATGACACTATAGCATACACTAACTCACACACTAACTGTTATTCATTTCCCACAATAATAGAAAAGCTTTAACTTCATTACCTAAAATACTCAAGCCCAACTTACTACCAGAGGCCATCAAATCTTATTTACCAATCAACTCGTGATCTCCCAATGTCAGACTACTGGGGCACCACAAAGCTCCTGCCTACTCAAAAGTCTCTTAATCAAGGCCTACAATCATCACAATGTCTAGAATTCATTCTGTGACCAACATGTGGGAACACTTGATATGCACAAGGAAATCCCCATCATGGTTCGTGCTGGTTCACATGGAGGGTCATAGAATTACTTTGATACCAAATCATGACACAAGGACTGTGTAATAACTTGTAGAAAGGATGCCTTAACATGTCGCACAAAATGCTTATGCTCAAATTACAAATAGTACGTGAATCATGACTTATGTACAAATCGTGTGTGTAAGCCTTGAGGCATTGCACATTATCATGAATCCTAAGTAGAAGAATTTTGAATATCTGACATCAAAGACATCAATGACATCCTATTGCAGTGGTTTAATTACCTTTGTCTTATGGTTAAGCCTAATGCTAAACTTTCTTGTCATTGCACAATTCATCTTTGATGAACTTAAGATATTTGTCAAATAAGTATTAAATTAGACATCAATGGCGCAGTGAAAATCAATTCATGCTTTTCTTCTAAGCAAATCAAAGGAATTTTTTATAATGTTCATGAATACTGCCCCTAAAAGGCTCCTCATAATATATACCATTTCACGTCAGTGGGTTTGCTATGGAAATTAAATCATTATTGAGAAGGTTCCATGGATGATTTGAAAAAAAAATTATGATCAAGTGTTATTTCAAGGTCAATTCCTAAATACAGCACAATGCCCCTGAGCAACGCAAGCTCTGGTGAAAAAGGTATATGACAATCAATTAAAAGAAATATTTGGCCCAAGAAAGGCCACTTATATTAATAGATCATGCGACCATAAGTGCCTTCTTGTTTCATTGCTCCTTTAGAGATGGTACAACTTTCCATAAGAGGTAAGGCACTAAATTCTATATGAGCACTGTTCAACTCAAACACACAAAATCAGACAATTGGAACCACATTTGTTGCATGGAAATCCTTTATGTCCTTAATCTACCGACAACTTGCAGTCAAACATTGAAAGAAAAATTAAAAGAAACATTTAAACATTTACTTTAAACCTCTATAAACCCTTAGGATTCTGGGTGATTAAGTCTGAATCATAACCTAAAATAATGAACCTAAAGTGCTCGATATGCTGTCAAGAGAGAATATCTTATAAATTCACCTCAGTCTTGGACATAAACCGAATTATTTGGCAGAGAAGCTGTTAATATCTTCCTAGAACAGCAGGCCTCCACATTGTGCTAGTTGGTAAGGCTTCATGATAGTTGGCACATGCCAAAAGATTGTCTAAACATATGTCATGACTTTCGGCATGTGTTGGCATCACACCTCCCCATACCTTTCTGGAATGGTATGTTTTAATCCATGACAACACGTGCTGATCAACATGGAAACCCTAGCTTCATATATTGTGATACATAGTTTCTTCAACAAATTCACCTTGTCATTTGACGAAAACCATCATCATTACATAGTTTCTTCAACAATCAGCTTTCATTTGATTAAAACCATCATCATTACGAAATAAGCAAAATGGTGAAGTGAAACAAAACAAATGACAATGAGCTTATCAACCATCAGCAGCAGTGATCTACAGGTATGAACACAATCATTACTTTCTACTCTTTCTACCTCAATAACCACAAATTAAAACAATGGCTCCGACCTGTTCATGCAAACACAGCATTCTGACCTAAAGGCTGTGACCCAGTGATTTACCTTCAAATTCATTAGATTAGAGATAATTTTCTGATGATAAAATTTCATTTGATTCATCCCATTAAGTTGATTCAGAAAGTAAAGTCGGGAATTGAAATAGGTACAATATATAGGTCATGCAGCAAATGACAAAAAGAAAAGACTTAAAGAAACACTTACAGATTCTTTTTGGTAACTCTTTTCCTCCCTTGTGTAACCTGGAACAGCCAAGTTCCAGTTTTTCTCTGCATAAGATCGACCTCAAGTTATGTCAAAGAAATAAAAGCCATGGCCATATTGCATCGCTGGCCAAGTACTCGAAAGAATGAGAAGAATAATGTCTTTTCCCATATATATTTGAAGTAGTACAGTTTTTAGCCTTTCACATATCAAAGATCTAATTTCATTTTGATTACTTCACAGTGGATAGACAGAGAAAAAGAAATGAACAAGAAATTTCAACCAGTGGTGAAATGGTGGTGGGCATAAACTTTTAACATACAAAAAAGTGAATTGAAAAGCACAAATTGCAACAAGGATGTTGGCTAAAGCAGTTCTTTGAATGAAATTAATTAAATATTTAGAGGAGTTATCTAAGTTGCAAACCTAGGTGTAGCAATACATCCTTAGCCTCCAAAGTTGAGGATTTGCGATGCTTCGCTAGACTGCAAGCAAATGATGTAACCTGCACTTCGAAAAGTAGTTGCATGAATGCCACAGGTCAGATAGAAACTCATCATGTGATGACTAAACAACATTCACATCATTTAGATAGACAAATCTACAGGAAAGAACGCAAGCTTCAAATGTTATGCAACATCAACATGATAAGGTCAGAAGACATTTATTCAATGTGGTCAAGGTGCATTAGAAAAGCAACAAACATGCAACATACAAGAAAGCATATATTCTACTGCATATATCATTAGTCTGTAACATCAAATGGCTTCTTCAAATGGTTAGAATACAGACAAAGAAAGGTAATGTCAGAGAATATCTTGATGGATTTTGGATGCATCACATATACCATAGGTGCTCATTGATTAGCTCCAGTCGGTCAATGCAGAAATAGGTCTGACACTAGTCTAATAATTTTAAGTTCTTAGAAGTGGCACATATGGGAAAACACTCACAGCTGAACATAGACATGTTTACTACTATACAACACATAGACATAATGCACATAACATTCTTAACCAAAGTTTGTTTATCCTAATTTGTCAGCACAAAAATAACTTTCAGATCTAGAAACTTGTTATGTAGCATGCCTAGCACTTGGTCTAAAATTTTAGATTCCGGTTACTGGCAGTGAACTAGTAAGTCCATAGGCAAAACTCTGTCCTCCTTTAGTTTCTAATTAGATTATTCAAATAAACTGAACTTTTGTGTATATGCCCCTCAAGTTCACCATATTTGCATATGGTTAAATTTGTTGCACTTGCATGTGTGCTCCAGCATGAAAATGCATAAACAATTTTTTATCGGAATGGTTCAAACTCTTGGTGCATTAAATATGCTAAAACAAGTAGACCAAATGAGAACTTTTTTGTTGCAAAAAAGCAATATCAAGGGATATTTCTTAGTTAATATGCATTAGTTGCTATTAGTGCCAAACTTAACAACAACATTCTAATGCTTGACAAGAGAGTTCTTGGCAGTTTTTGTCACAGAAAGCTGGTTGAATATGGTCTTCTAAATATGCCAAATTCCCATATATTTAACTTAAGAGTTATAGATGCGACTCAAGAACGAATTATGATAATCGTGACTGCTCAAAGCAAGGCCTATGTGGACTCGAAATACATGAGAAACAGAAGCGGGAGTGGCATCACCAGTATACATTCACCTCTTAAAATAAGGAAGATACCAGGATAGTGTTACAAATTACAAGAAGAAGAAGGAATCAGTAAGATTCATATTCACAGCCAACGATACTGTTATGCTTTCATCTTCTATTAAGAAAATTAAAGACATAAGGTATATGCACATTACTGAGTCAATGAAGTCATCAGCTATCTCCAAAAGGAGGTCTTCAACTTCAGGATCCAATTTACCCATGGGATCTACCTGCAACAACAGTAAAGATCATAAGTCAATGCCAAACGATCAAGACATGGAAGAAAGAATTCCATCATCCAATTTACCCACATAAACCAAAGACCACAAATTAAATAAATCAAGTTTGCACAAATCGACACTGTAGATGCATATTCAAGGATATTAAATACACATGCATCTAATATGAACTCCACCTACAAACTAAATCACACTTTTAACTCCTTAAGGAGACTAAACCTCATCCTTAACTCATTACATTATCCAGGCAGATTCTTTATCCTTCTAAACATTGACAAGCATGCTTGCTGCTATCCACCAAAATGTACAGGTTGTGGAAAATTAAATTATAAAACAAACAAACAAAAATTAGATTGTTTCTCCTAATATCAAATTTTGTCCAACAAAGTCTATAAGGCATCTACATAAACACCAAACAGTGTTCTGTATCAGTTTATGCATATATACTGACAACATTTGTGGTTAGATATGTCAAATAGTTATCATACATTATGGATTTCAAAAGCAAACAACTAGTATATGCATGGTAAAACAGATAAATTGTCATTGACTATAATTTGGGTAAGTTGGGTACCTGTAAAACTAAATCATGTATTTTTCTCTTTCCAAGAAGTTGATTAGTTGCTTCTGCACCTTGACTAGAACTTCCACCAGTCATGGTAGTGCCCGAAGCTGGTGTTTCTGGTTGTGATCCAGTTAAATTTAAAGATTTTTGGATTGCAGACCCTGGTAGCCGTGGAGATTGTAGCTGCTGCTGCTGCTGCAACTGCTGGATCTGTTGCAGCTGCTGTTGTTGTATCAGATGTTGCTGCTGCTGCTGGCTAGGTAGTGGCTGCTGCACCAATTGAGCAATTTGCTGTTGAGTGAGGGCCATGGATTTTTGGTGCAGCTGCGATGAAGCTAGTTGCTGTGTCAAGAACGACTGCTGCTGCCTTTGCTGCTGTTGTAGATGAAATGAAGGAGAACCTGGTGAAGGCAATGATGGCTGCAAATGCTTCAGCCACTGCTGCTGCTGTTGAGAAAGATTAGTCTGTACAAGTGCCGATTGTCCGTTTTGAGTCAACCCAGATACTTGTGGATTAAGTGCAGCAGCTGATGGTGTCCTGGGTAAGCTTTGACCAGGCAGCTTCTGCCAGACCAGCCAAGTATTCTACCGTTAGCCTATTGTAATAAGTACCACCAAAACACAAACAGTTGCCAATAATTTTGAAAACAAAATTACCACATGACTATCAACAGAAGTTTATGCATCCAGTAACTATGGCAGCAATACAAAATGCTGCATAAATTTTGTTCTGATTGCCGGACAGCAAGAGAGAAGTAACATCTAAAATCAAATGCTCAAAATTAAAACAGATATTAAAATACAAATAAAATCAGAAAACATGTTGCCAAAATTTATCAGCACTAATGAACTTTAATGAAACTAAGAAGCACACACAAAAAGAAAATCATTCATTATAACTCCACTACTAGGAGATCAAATTCCCCACATCAGTAGTTCAGGGTATTGACCAATTTGGATAAATACACCTGATCTGTATGTGTTTAATTAAAGGATCAAGCAATTTTTTTTATTTTTCAGCCTAATATCGAGAGTAGGTTGTGAGCAGCCAGAACTCATTGAATTTAACTATGTTCTGATTTGCTAGCCTCAATAGAAGAAAAAGGACTGGGAACACAAAGTAGGAGAAGAAGAGAAGCCAAGATAGAGGAAAGACAAAAATGAATTGTGACTATGACAGTGAAATAAAGGAGCTGATGTTGCCACAATTGCATTTGATATTTACAACAATCATAACATTCACCATTAAAAGGCAATATAGAAATATGGAGATGACAGTTAATCATCCTTAAACTCTTTTGAAAATAGAATTGTGAACATAATCGCGATAGATGACATGAAATTTATGATTAATTTCAAATCCTATGGACATTATATTTTAAAAGGTTTATTTTTCCTATCAACTTTGCATTGTCCAATACTTCAGTGATAAAAAAGGCATTGAAGCCACCATGGTGCTCATCATTATCTTCAAAGTTGATAAGTTTTAGATCTTTTTGCATGACATATATAAAAAAGTTATTTAGCACTATATTATCTCTGATATTTATTATAAAAATAAATATATCATAATTACTTTAATAAATTATTTTGAAGATATTGTTTTATATAGAGCTCAATGGCAACAAAAGATTCATATAGCTGCTTCAAATAGTTGGGACATCGCGGCATGATGTCTGTTGTTATTGTTATTGTACTTTATCAGTTTATTGTTTTTATCATATTTTATATTTAAGTTTAATGTTCATTCTGGGTATCTTATGAAGTCTGAAAATTAAAGAATCCTTTATAGCACATAATTCGTTTATTTTAAAATCATTTGTTTTTTTTTCTAGCTTCTGATATTTTTTTTCTTGATTGATCCTTATCAAGGTGTTAGGTTAATTCACTAGATGCAAAAGAGATACTCCAAGGTTTTTAATTTTGAGCATGCTGGTCATGGAATTGTTGCATGCTGCAAAATTTTAAAACACGATATTCCCGCATCATGATCAAGGATGAAAGCATTAGACATATGATGATACAAGCATAACAATCTAGAATCATTATGTGGTCAAAGTTTGTGAAATTTAAGTTGCAAGTCAGCAAAACCCACTCACAAAGAACAACTTAAAAGTTCAGCTGCATGTATTACTTGACATATAGCTGATTATTATTATTATTATTTTTTTTTTTTTGCAAAGGGTAAGTAGTAAATGCAGGTTTGATCTCAGGGGAGCCTGATGTTATGATAAAGTGTTTACCAACCAAACTAGCTAGCACATTCATTTTGTACATTATTTTGTTTAGAAGCCCTTTACATATATTCTTAAGCATTCAGACTAAAAGCATACTAATTGTAATGCTTTATATCCAACCAGAATATACCAAAAGTTATGAAATAAAAGTTGCATACTTCAGCTGAATGAATTAGAGCAAAGAATTTAGATGTTTATTCATGCCATCAAAGTATTTCCATCGATGAACTTACTAGTCTCTTGCATGATAGACCTCCTTGGTGTATGTTATTTGCTGATAATATTGTCTCAGTTGATGAGAGTCTAAGTGAAATAAATTATAAACTTAAGCTACGGAGGGTGATTCTAAAAATAAACAAGAGAATATAGTTAAATTAGATAGCAAAAAGTCCCTTTAAGTAAAAACCTTAGGTATCTTGAATTAATTATTCAACAAGATTGAGAGATCGATTAAAATATTATTCATAGAGTAAAAACAAGATGGTTAAGATGACGAGGAACGTTAAGAGTCTTGTGTGATCATCGGATACCTATGAAATTAAAAGAAAAATTTTATAAGACAGTTATAAGACCAATAATGCTTTATAGATCTGAGTGTTGGACAGTTGAGAAAAAACATACACAAAAAAATTGTGTTGTCGAGATGAGAATGTTGAGATGGATGTGTGAAGTTACCAAAAAAGATAAAAAAAAATATTTTGATTCATGAACAACTAGGTATCGTTTCGATAAAAAACAAGATGAAAGAAAATCGTTTAAGATGGTATGAGTATTTACCGAGGAGACCTCCGGAAATGATAGTCAGAAGAGGTGAAATAATTAATATTAGTTGTAAGAAGAGAGGTAGAAGAAGATTAAAAAAAATTTTAATAGAAACTATAAATAAATATTTAAATACTCTGAGCTTAACTAAATATAAGACTTTTTAAAGATCTCAATGGCGGAAAAAGACCTATGCAGCCGACTCTAAATAGTTGAGACTTACGACTTTGTTGTTGTTGATGTTGTATTCATAACATCAAAGCACGTCAATTCCACCACCTCTCCTTTCCGGTGGTGAGATTGAGAGCACCTACTTTCCCGTGTATTCTTCTAATCAAAAGAGAGAGCTAGAAGACTAAGGACAGAATACACATGTAGCTTACATGGGATTCCTTCTCTTTCACCAACTCAATAGTTACCACGGAAAAGACTAAAAATGTACAATACTCAAAGAGGCATTTACCTGAGGTGATGTAAGAGCTGTTGGTTGCGACAGCTGCTGTTGTCTCATCTGCCCATGCACTAAACGTTGTTGACCATATGGTAGAGGGCCATTTGCTCTTAACTGTGGATTGAAACCAAGGCTACTCATCATTCCCATATTCTGCATTCCTTGCACAGCCTGACCAGACGAATTAGCTGAATGGAACTGACCGCCTTGGACCAAACTCTTCTGTCTTGGCTGCAAATAAGAAAAGGTATTTAGCAGTCTCTTCATTTCAACATTACTCTGTTCCTCCTTTGCAATCAAACGTAATAAAAGTGTTTATGTGTCAAGGTAATGTGAATAAGTGACATTGATAGAGCATTGGTTAACCTGAGCAAGCATCTGAGACTGCAGATTGAAATGTTGAGCAGTCTGCCCGGGCAGCATCGATATCTGTCCTGCCTGCGTAATCATCCCCGACCGTGCCATTCCTGCAGCGGCGGCTGCGGCAGCCAGGTGCTGCTGCTGCTGGATCTGGGCGCCACCGAAATTCATCTGTCCACCGTAGATCCCTGCGTGCTGCCGCATCGCGCTGGCGGCCGCCGCTGCGCCGAGATGCTGCTGGATCTGACTCAGTCGCGGCATCGAACCGGACCGCTGCAGGTTCTGCTGTATCTGGAAGCTTGAAGAAGGCGACATCAAATTCTGCTGCTGGTTTTGCATCTGCTGCTGAGATTGCAACTGCTGCTGCTGTTGCTGTTGCTGTTGCTGGGATTGGATGGACTGCTGCTTGGTGGAGTAGTCTAGGGCTGCGGCGGCGTTGAGGGCCTGCGATTGGGGTTGGGACAATTGGGGGGAAGAGATCTGCGCGAGATCGCTGGCGGCCATGGACGGCGAAGGGGGGATTTGGGGGGAAGGGAGGTTCGGGTTCTGGGGGTTGGACGGCGTTATGGAGGCGTCGCTGACGCCAGGTGCTGGCTGCGTAAGGGGCTTGTTGGGGGAAGCGGACGCAGGGTTCTCCGCCATTGCCACCTCTCTCTCTCTCTCTCTCTCCGTCTCCCCCCTATATGGAATTAGAAGACCTCGGCGGCGTCGAATCGACGGAGATGAGTCGAAGGGGGAGGACGAGGCGAGCCCGAGGAGGGAGACGAGGGATTTGGGGGCGAATCGACCGGGGAAAGGGTGAGACGGATTTTCCCGTCTTGGCCGAGACAGCATACAACCTTCGCAATGGCAAGAGAAGCCAACCTTTTCCCGCGTGGCTTTATAATATAGGGCAAAGTGGTGTTGCCTGTTCTCGAGTGACAGCTGAGCGGCACCAGGGCGACGGGATCTCGTGGCATCGAGCCCAATTATGCGCTCTTGCTGTTGGGTCGGGCTGTGTATTGCTTGCTCGCGTGGGAGTGCATGGTTTCCACTGTGTGTTTCTTAAAACAAGAAACATAAATATAGTATACACTTAAAAAAGCACTTCGCCCTTTGTTTTCCGAATCCGGATGGCCTTAACGTTTACTTACTAGCAACTGACTTTGTTTTTCGTTTTTGCCGTGTTTTAGAAAACATAGGTGTAACCGACCAAAACATTGCAACTCACGATCATAAGACAATATGCGTCTCAAATACTCGATCCTTCAAAGTTAATTCTCAATAGAGAGGGAGATGAAAGAACAACCACTACAATCTTATCTTGTACTTCTATCTGCCACTTAATCAAATTTCTAAGGTAGCATTCTGAGGTCAACATGCAGAATAGTCAACATGCAGAACAATCTTCCCCACCCAGAGAGGTGTTTTATCCCGTATACTTGACTACTAAACACATCAGAAATATTATACAACATCAGTCATGAAGAGTCTTGCCATTTCAGTTTTATCTCTTCATGGTTATAACATCACATTCAATTCTCCCATTCAACTTGTATAACAGACTCTAATCCAATCGACATTTACAGTGTCATCCATTATACATTTATAGTATCCCATGTTGTCTGAGGATGCCACTGAGAGGAACACCTCACCAAATTGTGGAGATCATAAAATTGGCCGGTAGCCTCTTGAAGGGAGGTAGCGAGTGATCCATGAAGAAAGAGTTGAAACTGGATCACTAACCCAATTAATCTGCCATCAGAAAGCAAACTCAACTTAGATATTACCAATGGATTCAGCAAGATGCCAACTGAGAGACTGCTATTAGCCAGAAACAAACCTTTCCTAATCAACTTCTCCTTCTACCATGTTTGTATTGTTTTGAAGTCGCTTTCCTGACTTCACAGTTGCTAGGCTTACTGCTTGAGCAGTGGCACACAGTACTGTACCTCATGTAGCCTCAACCAGCTCTTCCTTTTATGCGAACCCCCTCTCCCTCTTTTCCCTTCAAGAGAATTGCACAAGCTTCCCAGCATCCGTATCTAATAAGCAAGCACAATGGAACGTATCATTCCATTCATCTACAGAGCTATAACTCAGCATGCAAGTGGAGGGGAAGATTCTTTACAAGGTTCATGGTTTGATGAATCACCTTCAGCTTATTACATGCGACTGCTCAGTGATTCCAGCGGACTCCGGTCATCTTCGGGTATCAAAGGCTTCTCGACGTCACCACCAGCACCTGCTCCAGCTGCAACAAAGTTAGTCTGGCGAACCACCTGGCATCAGCTCGTCCGAAGATCACAAAGGTGAGCAAGGCCAACCTGGTTGTCTTGGTGCAACTGGAAGAGTCAAGAACATGCAACTTCTTTCTTGATGCAGGAACGTAAAAGAATGTTAAAACATAGTTGGATGTCATGACAGTAGAAATATAAGTTCGTAGTTACTGATGCAACAGAAGAAGTTTAATCCTGTGATGCTATCTTCATGTACCAAATTGTCAGGAATAATTAGTTTTTTCTACTATAGCAGATTTCAGCAAAGAGTGTACTCTATACCATCATCAAAGAGTTCTCAGTAATATTATCTCATTCTCAATCAGTAAGGAATGAAATCTAACAAATACAAAAGAAATCACGATACAGGATTATTAGATGGTGGCACAGAACTCACAAAAATAAAGGGAATGCAAAATGCTGGTACAAATGTTCTTTCCCCATGGAATAAGAAATTTTGTTCTCCTGGAAGTTGCATGTGCAAGATGATAAAAGGAATCATTCAAGGATACGATGAAAACATAAAAAGAGCAATTTTCAGATGGCTCCAAATCAACAAAAAGATGAACATATAATGGATTACTTTCCACCTATCTACTAAAAAATGTGGACCCATGAATTAGGAGAAAAACAACCTTAATTTTAACATCCATCTTCTTATAATGTGTCTCAACTCACTGACAAGTTTCTCAACATGCTCAGGTACAGACAAATGATACTGAAGAAGAAAGGAAGCTGTGATCAATCCAGGCAGGGAGTGTTGATCATCATCAAAGCACAGTAACAGGAACCTGTAGAAAGGAGGAACAATAGGTCTAGGAACCATTGTGTTGGTTCATCATGCTGCAAGTGGTCAACTGGAAAGTTCAAAAGAAAAATGGAAGAGGGTGTATATAAAGAAACTGCAGTGTCATATAACAGAATACAACAAATTAGAACAACAGCTGAAATACTGTATAAAAATTCAAAAAGGCTTGAATTTTATTGGCTTGAAGAACAATCAAATCATCTTAACTACTTAAGGAACACATTACAACTCATTCACATTCCCTCAGCCCCCACAAAAGGATTAGAAAAGGGGAGGAAAGCTACTCTAGTGACTGATTTAGTTTTACAGAAACTAGTGTTACAATGAAGGATGTACAAGTATGGTCAAACAGATGCCAGGATCCAAAACATTAGCAGCGAAGTTTTGGCGGGTAACAAACATGTGATAAAAGCCATTGCAGTGGAGATTTGGTATCTGCCACATGAAAACTCATGATACTTCGAGCAAAAATTCACATCCTTCACAAATAAAACAGTCACACCTGCTGAAGAGCATGCCGCCGCAAGTGAGAGAGTCGCTGTTACCTGCATCAGGTGAAACAGCTTGTTTGAATTTACAGGACAGGAATTCAATTTTGTGCACTCTGCAAATGCCTCCAATAGAAAGGCTGAGAAATCAGAGACTTTATATTTGGCAACATCTACACCAGACAGAAAAGTTTAGGAGAGTTGAAAGCAAGATGCAGCAGATACATTCTACAACTAATGAGTGTCACACATGGTGAAGGCATTCAGACCTTGAATAGGTGACTTTCAGCTCAACTCAACCATCTTTGGCACCTACATAAGGATTTTTCTCTAGCTTGAAATCCTGAATGACTTGGGATACAACCTCAAAAACTAAATTCAGCAATCAAAACAAACGAAAACATATTGATTTACCCCCAGTGAAAAATTTGTAAGACAATCCTTTGATTTTCATGATTCATTTCAAGGAATTTTCCTGGGTATTAATGTGTTTAACATCAATGATCAAACAAGTTCTGATCTCCAGTCTTGTGCAAATTGCTGTGAAAAGAAAAAAAAATCTAGCAAAAACTAAGAAAATTTTGAAATAAAAATTATAAAGATTTCAGGTTCTATGTTAGTCGGATAGCCATATGCATTTACTTCATATCAAACTATTAATGAACTTTAGTGGATTACTGTGCAATCAATTATATATCTCGGTTGAGAAAATATGATAAGATGTACTCTTGTTTAATTGGTCATTTTTTTTAATTTTGAAATATTGGACAGCTAAAGTTACTAAGAAATCAGTTTGAATGCCTAGGTGATGCCGAGCCATTTAAGGACCTTGCTACTTATGGACCACCTGGCCACTTTCACAACCTTGCTTGCATGAACTGACAATTTCCAACTCAGCATGCATAGAAGGGTAAGTTTTTCCATATAACCACGAGTCAATAATGATACAAGCTGTGGTTCCTGAACATTTGGGTTCCAAAATTTTGACCCCTCTTCATCATGAAGTTGTCTTAATGGCAATATTGCTACTTCTCTTTTTGTTGTTTCTAACAATTATTTTTGGTCTTCCTTTATATCTCCTCGAACCATTAATCTATTTTAAGCCATCTCATGTCACCAGTGAGTTTTACATACTTACATAACCATGTTAACCATGCTGACCCATGCTCTACTAGATCAAGCAAGCCTACACACAACTAAAACATCCGCTTTGCTTTGTGCTGAAACTGTAAGATGTTTTGGATTCTGTTCAAACTGATTCAAAATGTAGGCCAACTAGAAGAGTTTGTAGCCAATACTTGATCTACAAGGCTAAATTTATTGGATAGTTGATATAATGGTGCTAATTTATAAAATACAAATAGCTGAATTACTAAAAATCCTCAAATAAATTAGTTAAGAAGTTTTACTTCAGACATACAGAACCAAACAAATCCAAAGCAAAAGACAATGTTGTGACATGCATTTGTAGATCTTAATCCTACCAACTGATACTCTAAAATGATGTTCAAGATTGTTATTTGACAACTTTTTAGTGGCAAAAAGGTAGCAATCTTGACAGTTTTATCATGGTCTACTACAAAATGATGAAATAGTCGAGCTACCATGTGTTTAATGTTTTTTTTAGTTCTATAGCTTAAACAATTACTTGAACTCCCAGTATGTTATGTGATAATTATTTTCATAATCATCAGAAAAGATATAAGTAACTAATTTGGTAGAATAAATATGTAAATGGGAAATGACCTATTAGTAACTTAACAAGAGCAATGATACAAGACTCATGTTTTAATCCAATTAGCTGTTGAATTTTATAAAAGTTACATCAGCACATTTACCTAGAAACAAGATAAATGGAAGCCATTTAACTAGAAGTGAAGAATAACCAAAATCCTTAAAATTAAGTGGTATTCTAGTAGTCAGAAAGATTACAGTCGTGTCCAAATTATTTCAAACCAATAAATATACGTAATTTCAGCATAAGAAATATCAAATCGATATGCAATGCAGATAAGCCATAGACGGTAGTAAATAAGAGCTAAGATAAAAAGTAGAAGTGAAAAAAAAAAAAGTGAAACTAACGATCTACCAGAGAATGAGTTTCAGCAGAGGCAAAATGGCATGGAGATCTATGGAAGAAAAAAAAAAGAAATTCTGTAATCTACAGTAACATGGTACTTGAATTCTGTTGCCATTATCGTTGACCTATAGAACCATAGCTTCAAGGATGAAGGTACGACTACAGAACCAGAGGAAAGTCATCCAGATGCATATAGGTGATGACAAATTTCGTAAAAATACTTACCCAATCACCAACCACGAACACGCTTACTAGCAAAGATTATGCAGATCTATATTAAACTTCAGATCATAAATATCAAGACATAAGAGCCCAAAGCTCCACAAGGTTTGTAGCCCCATAGAAGCAATCAAGTAGCTAGCATAGATTAATCATAGGCTATTAACTTCAATCACTCGAGAAAAACACTAGGAACCAGAACACAAGCATAGGTTTGATAAGATCAATCAATTAAGCCACCAAGAACTCGCCAAGTCAACCAAATCGCACATTAAATGACAAGTACCCGCTCAGAAAAGCAAGGGATTACCAGAAATCGGTGTAGTCGGAGAATCCAAAAGCGGAGAGCATCACTCCGATCGAAGCACCGGCAAGTGTACACTGCCCGGTCCTCAGTAGCTGCTCCAAAGGTTCCCTTCAATGTCCCCTTGCCATAACCCTAATTCCACGTCCACCCACAATTCTAATAGCCGATTACAAGCTCAACCCCTAAATCATCCATTGTAGTTCGAACCGCGAGCTATCGATCGCCAGGGGCGGAGCGCCAGATTAACGAAACCACGACGCATTGATCGAGCAAAGGAGCGATGAATTGCAAGGCGAGACGAAGCAGGCGGGACTGGGTTGGTAACGTATCGCCACCTGTCTCTTTGTTCAGTCCCACTGGTCTCATCTGTCTACGCATTGCCTTTATTATTTCTTAAATAACTAATAATCGTAATAATAAATTATTAAATGAAATTTTCATTTTTCTTCCTCGAAACAAATAGCAAAACCAGTCTTATGTGATCGTATGACAATTCGTTTCTCACAAACATGCGAGAATGGACGCTGCAATGAGTGCATCTCTTTTGGGAGACGGAAGAACCGATGATGTAGACCACAGTGGATGCATGATTCGGCTTCACGAACAGAGATGGAAACCACGACACCGAGCTCGACAGAGAGGACACGGCCAAAGTTCACATGACGCAGATGCGCCCAAAGAACCCGTGAGCTCTGCGCACATCCCAAGAAGGGAACAGAGGACGGGACACCGTCGCCTCGCCCTTCTCCTTCGATTAGGTCGCAGTGGGAGCCATGGATGGCCCCAGCAGCATGTGGTGATGTGGTGGAGGGAGACGACATGGTTGCCCGCTCACGGTTGCCTCTGCAGCTGTCAGGTGCTTCCATCTTAGGGTTCAGTAAATAGTTTCTATGGGTTAGTTTGCCTCCAAAGATGAAGCTATGAACACGAAGCAAACCCTTGACAGCACGATAGTTAAAGATCTTAGTTGCAGGTTTAGGTTACAGATGGAAGAAGAAGAACGTGAGAAGAAGACAGTGGAACACATGCACGTACGTACTTGAGGTTATACCATACACTACTACTGCAACTTGATGAGGAGCCAAGCTTCCATCTTTGGATCATTTCTTGGACATGGAGGCCCTCCTCCGGAGAACGATCCAGTAGAGGACGCGGTAGAACGCGAAGAACCCAAAGAGAACCTGCAAGTTTGCCCACCTTTCTCCCTCCCTCAAGCCTCGCCTCGCCAGCACATCTCTTCCGGTCGCCAAACACCCCCCTCCCATCTCCTTGCCGGCCCACTCGAAGCACCGGTTCGCTTGACAGCTGTACTCATTGGCCAGCAGCGCGTCCAGCCCGTACTTGTATGGAGATAAGTAGTGCACGAAGACCCAGTACTCCGGCATGCTCTCCTTTGCTATGAAGTAACCGGAGAAGAGGAAGAAGCCCGCCAGCGACACCGTGACCAGCGACGTGCCGGCGATGTAGTCCGGCGCGAGGGAGCTGACGAAGAGTACGAAGGAGTTGGCAGTGAGGACGAGGGCCCAGACGATGAGAACGAAGTCGGTGAACGCCGCCCACGAGGCGCAGAGCCCGGTGATGAAGTAGACGGAGGTGGCGTAGAGGAGGGAGATGGCGAGGAGGTAGGGGACGAAGACGAGCGTGCCAGCGACCAGGTGGGAGGAGAGGCGGTAGAGGCCGGAGGAAGTATCGCGGAGGAGGATGGGGCGCTCGCCCACGAAGATGGGGAGCGTCTCGGTGGTGGAGGAGAGTAGGAAGGTGAGAGTGAAGGCGAACAGGCCGAGCCGTTTGCCAATGCCCTCGTCGTCGAAGCTCAAGTTGATGTAGATGGTGCCCAGGAGGAAGCCGACGATGAGCGCCTCGATAGTGTTGGCGAGGAGGAGCTGTTTGGTGCGGAACACGAGCTTCCAGCAGCGGCCGTAGAGCGTCAGGATTTCTCGAACTCGAGAACTGGAATAGTGGACTGTGATGTCTTCTTCTTCTTCTTCTTCTTGGATCTTCGGTTCTATCAACTTGGTGGAGGAAGCTCGTTGTGCTTTAAGGGTGGTGGTCGGGTGGGGGAGTTGGTGGAGCACTTCCATGGCGAACTCGAGGGGGTTGAGCTGGGAGGGGACCGAGAAGCCGGCGGAGAGGAGAAAGCGGTCGAGGGAGGAGAGGGAGCCGTGGTGGATGACGGAGCCTTTGGAGAGGAGGAGGAGGGAGTCGATGGAGGAAAGAAGGCGAGAGCTGGGCTGGTGGATGGAAAGGATGATGGTGGTGGAGCGGGAGGCAGCGACGCTCCGTAGGGACTGCAGGACGAGGTGCGCCGATGAGCTGTCGAGGCCGGATGTAGGCTCGTCGAGAAGGAGCACCGCAGGGTCGCGCAGCAGGCTGAGGCCGATGGAAACTCGGCGGCGCTCCCCGCCGGAAAGGTTGCCGGAAAGGCGGGTGTGGGCGAGGTGGGAAAGGCGGAGGTCGGCGAGTAGGGAGGCGATGACAGCGGAGGCGGAGGCGGAGGCGTGGCGGGGGAGGAGGAGGCGGGCGGCGAAGGCGAAGGTCTCAGCGACGGTGAGGAGTGGGAGGGAAGCATCGTGCTGGGGGACGTGGGCGGAGAGGCGGCGGAAGGAGGCCGGGTGGAGGGGGGACGAGTTGAGGCGGAGGGAGCCGGCGGTCGGGGCGGTGCGGGCGGCGAGGATGTCTAGGAGGGTGGACTTACCGGCGCCGCTGGGACCCACGACGGCGAGCAGCTCGCCGGGGCGGGCGGTGAGGGAGACGTCGCGGAGGATGTAATGCGACGGTTGGGAGGGCCGGCATTGGTTGAGGAGGAGTTTCAAGGCGTGCACGGCGGTGGGCTTGACATAAAATATGGAGTGCGCCGTCAGTTCAAAGGTCTTCGTCTTCTTCTGTTCTCGCTGAGGAGGTGACGGTGGTGTTTCGGCCATGACAATGGTGGTCGAGGGGGAGGAGGAGGAAGCGGTGGGAGAAGAAAAGGAAGAGGAAGGAGTGCTGCTAACAGAGGGGATGAAAGATGGCTGTCCTTCCATCCTGCAATGGGGGAGAGGATGAATAGAAGAAACAATAAGAGACAGGGAGGGAGGTTTTGATACCCAAAAGCTAAAGCATTTGATCAAACACCAAAAGTGACGACCATGTGAACAAACAACACTGTTTTTATAACTTCCCATGCAAACGGCACGCTCCGTCAGTCCTCTTCTTCTTCTTTGTGTATGGGATTGTCGACGCCTCGTTACGACGACGTGTCAGCTTCAGACTCAGAATTCCTAATTACATGGACCTCGACACGTGTGTGTTCCACGTATGCTACGTGTCAGGTCATATATGTAACATGCAGACACCTATTCCGCTTCCGTAACTCCAAGAATTACGAAGCAACGAAACAAAATTGCTTCGTCATCTGAATCTCAACCCGGAAGTCGTGAACAGAAAACGAAAACATGGATGAAGTTGTGAGCTGGAGTCACCGAATCGGAACATTAAATTAAAAGTCGAGGCAAGCCAAACAAAAACAATTTACGTCTGATTTATTTACATACTCGGGCATGAATAGGCCAACATCAAGCAATCATTCGGAGCATGAAATCAACTTAATTATAAGGCGTCAGCACGTGAAGTCAAAAAGAGGCCACACCGCACACACTCGTGACTACACCATGCATGCATGCATGAGTCACGAGTCTACTGTAGCAAACGACCCGCTAAGGATGCCTCTTCTGTGTCGAATGTGCTTTCCCGTGACCTTGCTGGGTTATAATTCTGTCCTCGTTGTCTACTTCTTAAGTTATGCTAGAGAGGGAGTCTCCACATAGCCGGGGTGGTCATCCGTTTGGATATGTATGTTTTAGGTGAGAGAGGAGGACCCAGTGACCACAACATATAAGAACAAATAGAGTATATATAGGTTGATACCTTCAAATAAATAAATAAATGGGATGACACAAGTCTCTTTTGTTTCTTTTTCTCGGAATTATTCTTTAATCAAATAGCTTGATGTTGATTCAGATAGAGAAAAAAATAATAACAATAAATAAGGATTAGTCATGCAAATACATAATTGTTCATGGGCAATCATGGAAGAGTCTTATGTGGAGGTAGGTATAGTTGAGAAAAACATACGAATGTACCCCTCTACTAGTCTGCTATGTCTCAACATGCATAACTTCTGATCACTATACTATGTTTATCTCATTTTTCATTCGACACATGCCATCTTCCATCAGATCAAATCACCTAACAATACAATCATATCTAGGAACATCCAGAGACATATTTGTTCTACCTCCTTTAAAATAAGTAGATCAAATGCTCACAGAGTTGAGTGACATCTGCAACATCACGTCTATCCCAAATTTTCTTCTCTATAACAGAAATCCAGAATTTTGTACTTATCAATTAACATGGCAAATAACAACAAGTGGTAATATCCTAATAATTTAGAATCAGCTATATCCGTCTAAGACAACATATTTGATTGTACTGAGAGCAATTAAACCTTTTGACAATATCGGATGATTTTTTTTTTTTTGGTCTCCTTTTTTCCTCTCTCACAACAATGTTACTTATCTCATCCTGTTTAGTAATAACATTTGCAAATCTCCGAGGGAACTTTCTCCTTTTATCTACTATGAGAACCACATCTAATTGTTTGTCGTTAAAAACATTTATTTTCCAATCAACTTCACGCATCAACCTCAATATTTTTGTCTACGCAAAACATGACAGCAGCAAAATAATACGACAGAGCATTCAAGCAAGAAGAAATGAAGTAAAGCTCGGAAATTCAAACTTTTAGGAGAGATGAAAAAGACTGCTTCCTCATGTTAAGCCCCAGCCTCTCAAGCACACTTGTGCCAAACTAGAGTTATGGTCAATCAAACCTGGGAGACTGGATTTGGGTTTTCTCAGAGAGCTTTTTCAAGTGATACTCTCCTAGCGTACAATGGTAGCTAGTCTTCCTAGGGCTAGAATAAAAGGTGTGCAACATACACCTGTAACCATGGAATACCATTTCACTTGCCAAGGAAGAAGCACCTTCCATTAAGTACACCATTTTTGGGACATGTACCCAAAAAATTTTGGAAACTGATTGCACAATCAAAATCTAATATACTTAGAAATTCAGAAACTTCCAGCTTCTCATTAAAAACAGAGACATGCTAGATACTGATAAAATTCGGAAACTATTTCCGCCTTGTTAGAAAGCACCACTACCCATGATTAAGGGAAAGAGTAATTTACCAATATTTGAGTAAGAACAGACAGAGTGTCTTTCCTGGATTGAAAACTTGTTTTCAACACTTCTGAGGTCTTAAAAGTCTGATGATGACAGATGGCTTAATGAATTATACCACCACAAACCTCCAGCATGTATGTTCCATGTAGAGTATTCTGCGATGTACAGATACAATGAACTTCGTGAACCATTTTTAATATTTTTGTTATAGACTACAGACAAGGGGAAAATTCATACATGAAAAATACAAATACAAGACAGCTACACTATCCCATAGCAAAATGCTGCAGTTAAGACCAGTTTAACAGAAAATTAAGCAAATACTTACTATTAATGGAAAAACTGGAGGGTAAAAGCCATACATGACTAAAAATTATCTAACAGCATGAACATAATATATGACTAACCATCAGAGAGGACAAAAGGAGGAAATTTGTTGTTTAGAATCCTGCAATATCCCACCATATATGTTTAGTTTTCTAAAAAGCACATAGGACAAAATAAAGAGAGACTGGAAGCCACATTTCCCTATTTCTGCAACCTTTGTATGATTGATCCCATAAAAGCAATTTTGGGGCCCCAAATTTTGTGGGAAAATAGGCAGTGGGAAAACATCTCCTATAAAACGCCCATCTTAGGCTGCTCATATGTTTCTAAATCATATTTCCACTGGGATGTTCAACAAAGCCCATACTGGATTTCCAATATACCATCAGATACAATTTAAGCAGCATAGGCCCACTGGAAAACAGCCAGGCATCTTGATGTTTTGAAGGATAAACTTTCACCAACTTTGAGCAAACTGACCTTTCTTAGATATGTCCTCTGCCTGTCACCTCATGAGATTTTTAAAAGAAAAATTTTGGTCAGATGTTACAGTGATTACATGGAGTCAAAGGAAAACCAATTGCAGTTGCATAAATGCAGCTTATATTACACTTCAAAAGTTTAATACTGAGAACCTTTTAATTTCAGGAGAGGTCCCTGCTTCTAAAAGACAAATTCAAAAAGTTCAATTTGGAAAGGCAAGACATGGAATAAAATTGAAACTGTGCCTTGAATATCATAGTTTATTCAGAATTCGGTCAATTACACTTAAAATACAATTTAGTTCACACATGTATACATATATGGCATACTATTTTCACTATTTGATAGCATAAAAAAAGGTACAAACCTGTAGAGAGAACAAAATTATTCACCACAGGGGTTGTTCCCTTATGTTTGAGCTTAGCTTAAATCAAGTATACCTAAATTAGATATTGTCCATTACCAAGCAGCTTTTATCAGGCTTGTGTATAGGAATTGGAATGCTTTAGACCCATTCTATACTCACAATTTAATCTTGCTTAACTATAACCTAAACAAAATGCTCCTAACATTGGCAAGTTGTTTTCTCTAAACCAGTTCATAATTGCTTTCATACCTCTACTCCATTGCAAACCCATTTCCAAACTGATGATTTTGACTAGCAAAGTCTTTTTTTTTTATATTAAAACTGGACATATTTAATCTCTTAAGCTCTCTATGGTACATTTACATAAATTACACACTTATTTTGAATGGCACAAGCTAACCTTTGGATATACATCTGCAAATGCAGTATACTATGAAAAATTGAAGCAATAGATCAAAAAAGGGTCAGCTTTCCATCCATAAATTTGATGGAAAATGATATGTCACTTTAAGTGACCCGATCACACTTAATTGCATTTGGAAAGCAAGAAAGATAATGGTTCTATGAATTCATATCAATTATTTCGCAAACTTAACAAGTTCTTTGCAATTACACTATGTTTCCTTGATAGCTGCCTAAAGACGGAGAAAATTCATAGAATTTAGTTCATGAAGATCCACACAATGTCACTCAAAAGATCTTTCTGCTCACACTAAAAATCCAACATTTAACCATTTTTCCTGACAACTCGACATTACATTAATTAATGTTATCTCAGGTATGGGACTAACAAATTGAGCAACAAAATTGGATTTCCCAAAGACCTTGCTGTGTGTGTGTGTATAATCTCGATATATCGTTGATTCTAGTCCAAAACTTAATTTGTTTTGCTATCTTGTGTCTATCAAACAGTAAGAATGAAGAAAAGTAAGTAAAAAGAAAGACAGATAATCTAATTAACCCACTGATTATTTTGCAAAAGCTTTAGCTCCTCCTCCTGCGGTCAGCTGCGAACTGGGAGAGCGGGACGAGCTCTGACAATGGTGTTGAGATTGGAGTAGACACCGGCGTGGGCAATGGCGACGTCCGGCAGACCGGGCAGGACGCGTTGAGCCGGAGCCAGACATCGATGCAGAGGAGGTGGAAGTAGTGGTGGCAGTCGGGCATCATCCGGAGCATCTCCCCCTCCCGGTACTCGCAAAGGCAGATCGAGCAGACGGTATCCCCACCCTTGGCCGCCGAGAACGGGAACTTAGGGTACGAGCTGATGGCCGCCTGATCGAGCCCCGATGCCCGGCCGCCGCCCTCGCTGTCCTCGCCGTCGTCGTCCTCGGCGACGAAGATGATGTGTCGCTGGAGGACGCCTTCGGCGGGGATCGGGCCCGGGGCGGAACCAGGGTTCTGGGGTCGTCGGCGGCAGCAGATGTAGGAGACGACGAGGAGAGCGGAGAGGAGGCCGAGGGAGACGGCAATAGCGAAGGAGAAACTGAGGGTCGTGAAGAGGGAAGAGGAGGAGGAGGAGGCGCCGCCGGGGGAGGCGTGAGTGGACATGTTGCGGCGGAGAGGAGCGGCAGTGGCATTGTGGAGAGGAGAGGAGAGGGAAGGGGAGGGAAGGGGGAAGGAAGGGTTAGCCTTTTTGGGGGGAGGTGGGTGGGTCTGCTCAGGAACTGCATTGAATGGGGAGTGAGACGGAGAGAGAAAGTGAGGAGCATTGCATCAAATAGGTGGTGGACAAAGTTTTAGACCGTCCACGGAAAAGGTGCCCAAGTGGAAGAAAGCAAACACTGGAGCTGCAGCGACAAAACTGGTGATCGACGAACAACAATACCCAACTCCAATCGATTTGTGCTTCGCTTTCAACCTAAATAGAAACGATCGCAACGCACGCCTGCAAGCAGTGCTGTCAACCATCCATCGTTCTTCTTCCTCTTCCCTTCTTCTTCTGCGAGGTTGAATCCACCGAGGCATTACCATCGCCACTCATGACCCGATAAGGCGGCCCATCCAACGCCACTGCAACCACCGGCTGTAGATCGAGTATGTCTCCGATCACGAACACGAAACTGTGGTTCCGGGTGGGGCTCTCGCGGCCGGGGATCGCCGACCCGCTTGCGGTCGTGACCGGAGATGACGCGTCGAGTGACCGAACCCAAAGGCTTGGATATAAATACAAAACGAGACATGACGCATAGTGGCATACTTCGAATTGGGAAGTTGGAATTGGCAGTGAGTCGATCGATTGGAGTTGGGGGAAAAATGAGACTTATATGTGAAATTTAGATATGAGAGCTTGTGATCGATTCATATAATTCAAGAGTAGAATTGGATTTGGTCGGATCAGAAACAATTATCTCCAGTGTGTGTTTAATGTCGTTGTTGATTGGGCGGGCTTTCTCGGAGAGCACAACAAGAGAGAGAGAGAGGACCACATGCCAACCTGAAACCTGACACAGCCTTGGAGGTTGGTTTTACATTATAATGTTCTAAGCGATCATTGGGTCCTATCGATCAAAGTGCCATCGGAGAGACATCTCAATGAGTCCTTACCATGCCTCTGCCACCTTCATTTACCCTAATCCCATCCCATCATATATATCATTTAGGGACAATACTTAAATACGTGGACACTACACAATAAAATAGAGCTAGATCTGCCACATCATCACCAATCATAACAAAAATTACTTTTGACATCTGAATTAATTGTTTTGATACATAGCCTTTCTCTTTCCTCTCGTTATCATCATTTTGATAAAATTATTTCATAAATTAGAACATTATTCGATATATATATTTATATATATACTTACTTACTGTTGTCTGCTGCTTTACGCTGATTCAGGTTGGGGAGTATAACTTTATTTTTTTGTTAGGAGGAACGTTGCACCCACTTATCTCGGAGCTGTCGCATGAGCTTTCATATCGTAATGGGCAGACATGTTTAATGTATTCTAAGATGATACAAGTCATTGCTGCAATGATGTTGTAGTGTGACTTGGATCTTGGAAACTGAGTCATGGATGGCCTTGTTTTTTAGGAGAGCCACAGTCTTTCCTGATCCATATTTCTTATTCCCGGCCTGAGGACACACTTCAGACATCCCTAACTCTCCACGGGAACTGAGTGAAGCATGACCGGTGTAGTGGTGTGGCCACCACTTGATGAGTTCCCCTGTAGTAACACAGTGTCAAGAGTACCACTTTGGAAGGTGAGAGACCACAACAGAGCCAATGAGAAAGGTCGTTTACTTTGGCCACAAGATTTAGTGGCAGAAGCAGTTGTTCTTGCTTTGATGAACACTAAAACTTCTGCACTGCCCCCATTGTCCGGCAACATGATGGTGAGTCCAAGGGAAGGTCACAGAGCTCATGACCTCCTCTGCATCCCATCCCTTTGGTTTCACCCTGTGCTGGCTGCCTGTTCCAAGGAGAAGAGATGCAGGAGGATGGCTGAGAACACACTTTGGAATGACTTCCATCATAAACAAGTGCCTCATTCACAGGGTGAAGGAATGATGTGTGTTTAAGAATACTTCAGTTCCTAATTTCTGGAACCAATATTTGGTGCCCTATGATAATAATATGACTCAAGAATTTTTATCATCAAATTAGGATTTTCGGGTGACATATGGTTGGATTGATTTGTATACATGACGTCAAATTTCTAAATTTTATTCCCTAAACCTATTTCCGAATGTTTATGGGTTTGAAATCTCGTTTGATAATATTTTTGTATCAAAAAAATTAAACAAGTGACGATGATTCATTATCTCACCTATTAATTTTCAAAGATAAATATCTTCGAATATTGATATCAAAACCATTAATCGGGAGGTGAATGTTGATTGTATTGTTCATAGTTCAGTGTTTCTTAGTATATCTATATCGAATCTGATTAGATACGACATCGGTATCATGAGATATTTTAATTCATTAAGGAATATACGATAAGGAAGTAAGTATTAAATTGATTACATTCAAATATCGGAGTCATGATGAGTATTGAATTTTTTATATAACCAAATATTCATATTTAATTTATTTACCATTTTTGTTGCCTTTTACTATTATATTTAAATTTTAATAAGAATTTTTTCTACAAAAGAAATATTGATAAAATATATATATCTTTTGTATATGGAATTTGTGTAACTAATATCAATTTGTAATTCGTAGCCAAAGTTAAAACCGCATATAAATATAATTTTTCAAAATACAATCATCATGTTAAGTAGGTCGAATAGATAAAAATACAAAAAAAAAATTTACTCAAGTTAGAATCCTCTAAATGAGTGCCTAAATCCAACGTAAGTGGATTGGACAGACACAATACCTGAAACAAGTGATCCATTGCAATCCCTATTCATGTCTTGATGAACCATGCCAAGGACAATCAACACCATCTAATGAGTACAAGCACAGCATTGTTGTTCTGAGTTAGGTAAAGGTGGACCATGGTGTCTCCACCAACTATAAGAGGAACCCAATCCAACCAAGAACCATCACCAACCTTTTCCTCTCTCTCTCTCTCTCTCTCTCTCTATAGGAGGTGAGGGGAGGTAAAAGGTAGGATAAAGGGGAAAGGTCCAATCTCCTCACCACTGTGTGCCAAAAAACACTTGGGGCCTCTCCTTTCTCCGTATCCTCCCCTACTCTAAAGAAAGGATGGGGAATACATGGCACAAAAGACATGATGGGCCAAAGCTCAAAGTGGTGGGGGTGGGGAAGGTGACCATCATTTCCTCGAGTGAGTCCAAACAAGCTTAGCCTTCAATCCTTTCTCTCCCCTCAGCAGGTATTTATATCCAGTGGCGCACACAAGACATCATCGCCAACACCTCCACACCACTATTTCCACCATTCCCAGCTTCCCCTCATCACCCATCCTTTACTTTTTAACTCCTTGTAGCTTGTTGAAGGCAAGCCAAGCCAACTGTTATATCTATCTCCTTGCATGTCCCTCCACTCCATCAACCTTGAGGAGGCAGAGGTGCTTCTCTCTGATGCTGCAAATCTTGAAGAAGAATACATATTAGAGGGCAACAAACATGTCTCTTTCATACTAAGAGAAAGAACCAAGCACATTAAGTTTTGGATCTGGCTGTCTCTTCTTGCCTAATCTTCTTCTGATAAGGTACAGCATTTATTTATTTATTTATTATTGTTTCTTGGTATCATCATGGTCATGATTAGCATCATTTTGTTTTCACTGTCATCAATTGCATTATTGCTATTATTTCTCCATTTTTTTGATTGCTGAGGCTATTTATTTATGTTTCCCTTTTGTTATTAGTCCTTACGGATTACAGTGATTAGATGTGACAAGACCAGCATTTCATAGTATCATGGGATATTGGCTTGTCGAGTGTTCGCCTACCTGTAATGCTTTGGCACATTTCCAAGGCCTGTTGTTGGTTCTTCGTGATTTGAGTCTGCTAATGTGTTTGATTTTGTCTCATCTGAGCTATCTTTCGGAGGTGGCCAAAACCAATCTCGATCTCGTGCAGCTGCCAGAGTTGGATCCGTATCTCTGGTTTGCCGATTATGTAGATTTGATTCTTCTTCTGGTAATCGTTCCCTCAGGTTCTTCCGTTCTGCTTCATGGAAGGTGAGGCATCCCGGGAATCATGTCCTGCTTCCTTCCACCGAACCGAGCTTGCTGGATTGAGAGCGATTCCTGAGGACACTAGTGGTTGCCGAGAAGGAAGCACATTAGTCTCGCTGGACGCCGTCTTGCCTGATGACCTACTGGAGAAGGTCTTCTCCTTCTTGCCCATCGTCAGCATCATCAGGTCGGGCTGTGTGTGCAAAAGATGGCACGAAGCTGTACATGCCGGGAGACGTTCGTGGATTGCCATGTCGCCGCAGAGGCCATGGTACTTCATGTTCACCTGCAGCGACGACGTGGTTGGTGGCTACGCCTACGAGCCCAGCCTCCGGAAGTGGTACGGCTTCCGATTCCCCTGCATCGAGAACAGCAACTGGTCCACTTCATCCTCCTGCGGGCTGGTCTGCCTGATGGATGGCGAGAACAGGAGCCGGGTGTTCGTCTGCAACCCGATCACCAAGGACTGGAAGAGGCTGCAGGATGCGCCCGGTGGTGAGTTCCCTGACTACACCGCACTCGCCATGTCCGTGGACAGGAGGTCTCACGGCTACGTGGTCGCGGTGGCAAAGTGCAAGCAGGTGCCGCAGGACTACTACCAGTGGGACTTCTCGATCCACATCTACGAGTCGGAGACTGGGACATGGGTGACCGCTATCAGAGAAGTACTGGTTGGATGGAGGGGAGGGGATGAGTGCGTGATCTGCGATGGAGTCCTCTACTCCTTGATCTACCCCACAGGTGTTCTGGGAAATGCCGAGTCCAGACACTGCCTGGTTATGTATGATCTCTCCACGAGGTCTTCTCGCACGCCGCTCATGCGCATGGCCATCCCTGTCCCATGTTCGCTGACCTGCGGACGGCTGATGAACCTCCGGGAGAGGCTGGTCATGGTCGGTGGGATCGGGAAACACGACCGGCCGGGCATCATCAAGGGGATCGGCATCTGGGAGCTTCACAAGGAGGCATGGCGAGAGGTTGCTCGGATGCCCCACAAGTTCTTCCAGGGGTTCGGTGAGTTGGACGATGTCTTCGCCAGCAGCGGCACCGACGACCTCATCTACATACAAAGCTTTGGATCCCCGGCTCTGCTCACCTTCGACATGAGCCTGAAGCAGTGGAGGTGGTCCGCCAAGTCGCCCGTGACGAAGAGGTTCCCCCTGCAGCTCTTCACTGGCTTCTGCTTCGAGCCCAGGCTCGAGATCACCTGTTGACCTGTTCATGGCATTCGTTACAGCTTTTCCTTGTTAGATCCACCGAAACCAAAGAAATCCAGAAGATGTCCATCTCCCTCACAGTAGAATCAGATCAATGCATGCCTCCAAAAAGTCTCTTCTTTGAGACTTGACTTAGTGTCGGTCAACGAACATCAAATCATAACATCTTTTGCCAGCTTCGTCTCTGCAAAGTCAAGGTTCTTCAGGAACAGTACTTTGTGACTTATTGCTGTGTAAACCAATGAATAATAAGCCATGCTTTCCATTTTCATCAGGTGAAGATTACAGGAAGGCATGCCTAGAAAGAATGCGAGGGTTGTCTGTACTCGAGATCTCCGGTGATGGCTAAAGCTGAAAAGAGGGAGGGGGGGGGAAGTTTCAGATGTTGAAATGATTAGCAATGGTACTCTCGGAAGAAGAAGGCAGAGAGAGGGTTTGGAAGGTTTTGGCATGTAACAACACAGGAAGATTCTTTTGCTTCCCTAGAACTGAGAGGGTAATGAGCAGAGAGAGAGAGAGAGAGAGAGCACTGGAGCCGAGGAAAGAATGAGATCATCCATCCTAGGAGAAGGTACACTAGTTAGAGAAGGTGGTTGTTGCCCAGTGGAGAAAGAAGAAGAAGAAGAAGAAGTGTTGGCATCAGGTTTTGGTGTGTGTGCGGAAAAGTGTGGCTGCAGGGAGCCTTCAGTCCACAGCTTCCCCCATTTATGGTCGGGGCATGTCAGCTGGTGCACACAGGCAGCCAAGGCCACTGTCTTCTCCACCAACCCGTCAATGCCACTGCTGTCCCCAACTGGATCACCAGCAGCCATTAAAAGAATGGAAACCTACTGCTGCTTTTTTTCTTCTCCTTCTTCTTTGTTTAATTAACTCAAAAGCAACCAAATGATTAATACTATGAAGATTGGACATACATACACAAATCTTGAAACATAGAATTCTTAATGATTCCCACAAAAAGAAAAACTACATAATTCATTTCCATTTGTAGGGAGGGATTATTTTGGTTACATTTTTTCTTTTCATTTACTTTCTCCCCAGCTTAAAATTGCACTTCCAACTGCACTTTCCATCATATCTTCTTCTTCTTCTTTTCCCAACTACATGACTTTGGATTAAAACCCTCTCGGATATCATATCATGACCCACTTCGATTTCCACATGTTGAGCTCATGCAAATGTGATGTGCATTAATGAGTTGCATTAATGATTCGACAATTAATGCCGTCGGGCTCACGTCGGGGTGGCGGGCGCGAATCTCAAAGCGACGCCTTCTCTATCACGTGAACCCATTTATTACCATTAGCATTCTATCCCTTAGCTATGGTGGTAGGAAGTAGCAACCTATCCGTTCTCTCTCTCTTCGGTGTCTTACTTCCCATTGTCCAAACTTATACATCTCGACTATAAGTTTGATTGGCATCAATAATACAATAGCAATAATATTTAAGGATTGACATTAATAATTATAATAACAATGATAAAATCTTAAGTTTTACCTATTTGAGTATTGACATCAATAGTAAAATGAGTATATTATTTTTAATTAATTTTGGGTTATAAAGCCATTGGTATGATTGATTTTTTCGAATGATAGTTTGGTTTGAACAAGAGATGAATCGATTAAAAATTAAAACTAAATCGGAATAAGTTTTAACCATTTCATTTCAAACTAAAAGATCACATATCTCTTCAAAGGATCAAATAAAATAAATGGAAAAGGTGCACCATTGTTGACATCTGACATATTAGCTATCTTACCACCACAAGGGAGAAGAATTTGATGAAGCCAAAAATTGATCCCATCTCATGTATCTATTGCCAACAAATTACAAAATTGTAAAGGCAATTATTCATAGGGCATTTAGTATAGAGGAAAAAAGCTTACAAGTGAGCCATTATCTTGAATATTAGGAATTTTGTAATATAATATTAATTATTGGAAAAAAAATTTATATATTTTTATATATAATTTTTTTATATATTAATTATTGGAAAAAATTATTTAGATGATAAATATATGTCAACTTGACCATTGGAGTCAACCTCCTATAATTTATAAATTATAAATGAGACAAAATATGATATTAATTTTATTTGATTGAAAAATACATGAAAACACACATGAGATCGATACAATCTACCAAAACTTAAGTCTTCTTAATTTTTAGTTATTTTTGTTTGCTGAATCCAACATAAGGAGACGATAATAATAATAATAATAATCTAATATATCACGAGAGTTATTGCACGAATCTCAATGATATTTATTAAGTTCATGCGTCAATCTCAAAGCACCCTCAATGGCGATGTGAACTCCTCCTATTCTTAATCGAATGAGTTATAATACAACAAGTTATAATACAACCCCTTCGATTCGACTCGATTGTTTGAGTTCATACGATTATTGATCCAATTGTCGTCTGATGAAATCTTTTTCGAATCTCAATGCGAGACAATCAACTCGACCAAATCATTCAGTTTAAGGCAAGTAATGATATCAAGAAATTTGAGATCGAAGAAATTCCGATTGTCTCGTTCTTGCTATATACTGACCTTCGATTGGACTAATACCAAAATCCCCAACCAATTCATGCTTAATTGCGTGTCATTATTCCTTTACCTCATTCAACACTTGGTTTAATTGGACCGAGTGCGAGCTGCGTAGAGTTAATTCACGACTCACGACACGAGGGGCTGGTCTACAAGGGAGCCGTGGCTCGAGTCGGGCAGTGCCTCGTGGGGGTAGGAAGGTCAAAGGAAACGTAGCACTGTGGCACCATAGGCAAAGATAAATGCAATTAAAGGTGCCCAATTAATTCCCAAATGCATCTAATTGGCGAGTCAAAAACCCCAAAGCTATGTGTTGAATTTAATGAAACAATAAAGGAAAGTTAATTAGCGAGTTTAAAAACCCCATTAGTGGATCCAATATAAAGATTAATATTTTTTTTAGTAGGATGAGAAAGATTTCAATAATCATAAAAAAAATATAAAGAACAATTTGATTTCGCGTAGTACATAAACTTTAAGATTCGGGTACGGAATCTGATTGTTTTATAGGTACATGTAAGTATCAGAATGGTTTCGGATTCGGATCTTAAGTGAATCGAACCCGATAACATGTTGATGAGCATAATAAATTAATCTTATAAACCCGACCCGATTTAAATAAATAAACATCCCGAAACTAATTAGAATTACAATTAATTATTACCATGTGGAGCGCCGAGCCGTTGGCCGATCCTATAAAACTGCACGGCGACGCCTGCTCTGTAGCCTTCTCTCTCTCTCTCTCTCTCAGCTCCAAAACGAACTCACTCGATTCTCTCTCTCTCTCTCTCTATCAATCTTCTTCTGTGTGTTTTGTACTGCTGCTGTTTCGTTACACGGAGCAAGCAGAGGCTCCACCAATACAAGCCCCTGCTGCTGTTGCTGCTGCTACTGCACTGAGCTACCAGAATTAGTACTACCCAATCCAGAGCTGTGCCTGCTCTCCTGGGAACGCTTCTCCTGCCGAAACCATTCCCTTTTGAGGTACCAAAAAGAGCTCAGTTTGCCCTTTGAACCTCTCCCTTCCGTCTCTCTTCCCCTCTCCTGCGCGTGGTGGAATCCCGTAGGGGGTGAAATGGTGTGATCGTCCCTCAAAGGTCGCAACTTTCCTGGAAATTTCACTGCTTTATTGTCTTCAGCTTCCCTGACTCTGTTTCTACCGTTGTATACTCGTTGTTGGATGTCCAAGCCATCCGATCAGTCTTTATTCGCCTCGCCTGGGGGATATCAGAGGAATCGCCCTTTTGTGGCTTCCCATTTGTTCGTTTTGCCTCTCTTCCCTCTCTCTGATCGCTTTTTGGCGTGGAAAAAGGTTGGATTTTTATGGTGGGAGGTGTTGGGTTTCTGGAACAGGGTCGCGGCGGTGGGCGAAAGCAGAGCACATGCCGATTTAGATGGCCAGTGGAGTGAAGCGGAGTGAAGCTTGTGGTTTCATTCCTCTGCTGCTGAGAGCGATGGAGGCGACGCCTTCTTTGCCCGTAGTGCGCGGGGAGCACGTCGACGTGATCCGGAAGCCCCTCTCGTCGCTGCCCGCGCCCCGCACCGTTCGCTTCTTCTGCGACGACTTCGACGCCACTGACTCCTCCGGCGACGATGACGAGCTGCCTTGCCAGTCCCGCCGCGTCCGCCGCTACGTCCAGGAGATACGGTTCGAGGCCCGGCCCTCCTCCGCCGGCAGGAGCAACAAGGGGATGAAGGCCGTCCCCGCGAGGAAGAGGAAGGCCCCGGTCGCGGGCGAGGGCGCGGCGGGCGAAGGGGACGGGAGCGTGAAGCGGTTCCGCGGCGTCCGCCGGCGGCCGTGGGGGAAGTTCGCGGCGGAGATCCGCGACCCCTGGCGCCGCGTCCGGGTGTGGCTCGGCACGTTCAACACCGCCGAGGAGGCCGCCAAGGTGTACGACTCTGCCGCCATCCAGCTCCGCGGGCCCAGCGCCACCACTAACTTCTCCCGGCCCACCGCTGCCGCCGCCTCGCCACCCAAGAAGAACCGCTCCGACAACAACCTCGCCTCCGTCTCGGACGCGTGCGACTCCAGCGACGAGTCACGCAACCTCTCCTCCCCGACCTCTGTCCTCCGCGGCTTCTCCTCCTCGTCCTCCTCCTCACCTTCCGCCACCTGCTTCAAGGAGGAAACCGACACGCCGACACCACCTAAGGCGCCAGACTCCGCCGGCACGAGGAGCTTACTGAAGGAGCTCGGCGACTTCCCGCCGTTCCAAGAGGTACCGGCGCTATTCGACGAGTTCCTGGACACGTGGGATTCGGAGCCGAGCTACTTCGGCGACTCCGCGCCGATCGGCAACCTCGCCGAGGAGATGACCGACGCCCTCATCGGCCCGAAGCTGGACCTCGACTTCTTGTCGTCCACGTGGCAGAACGCCGACTATTTCGAGGACATCGGCGACTTATTCCCGATCGACGCTCTCCCCGCCCTCTAATTTGGCGTCGTGGCTGTCAGCCGAAGGAACGCGGCTTCCCCCCTCCTTCTCGCATCCCGATATTTGCAGTTTTGCCCTCCAACGTGTCTCCGTCTGTTAACGGCGACGGAACGGAATCCCGTGCGCTGTGGAAATTTTCCTTCTCCTCTCTAATTTATATTGTACATGAGAGAGTTTGTAGCTGCCACGTTAAAAGGAGTACTTAAAGTGGGATGTTTCGAGGACAGAAAGCTGGCTTTTGGTGGTGACCACACACACACACACACACACACACACTCTCTCTCTCTCTCTCTGGTTTTTGCTGCCAAAAGTGAAGCATGGCCTGTGAAACATCTCATCTCTCTTTCAAAACGTAGCTTCTCTTTGTGTTTGTCGATCGATGCTCCTTTCCGATGAGATCAAGCACATCTTTGCTCAACTAACATTGTGGTGGAAGCATTTGTCAGCATGTTTTCATCGGTCTGCATGGTTTTTAGTCCCTAAATATGACATCCACTGTTCATCTTTTGTACATCTGTGCTCCATGAGATCTTCCATTTTCCACGTCAGTGTCATTCCAAATGCTCATTCAAGTCACTGTTTCCAGGCAATCCAACTACAGGCAAATGGAAGATTCCAAAACAAATCCATGGCTGGGGTTCTCTGTACCATGTGGTCTACTGTATGTTTTGGGTCTTTCGGGTACATGGGGTTTCTCGTCTGCATCTGAAACCATCGGTGGGACAGAACAGTAGTGCTTTCAATTCTTTCCACAGATTTCTTCTCGCACACCGAACAACATTGACTTGCCACTCCAGCTGATTGGTTCAGGCAAGGTGCAGAGCTGGTACACCAGCTGTAGCTTTGGATCTTTGAGCCCGATTGAAACTAGACATTGATGGCAGATTCCCCGAAGGTGTGACATGCATCGTCCCATGAGATGTCAGTGACTGCTCCACTGGGGGAGCAGCACCCCAGAGCTATTCATGCTTACTCCACCAGTGAGATTATGTGGAGTCCATCTGTCTTGGTCAAGAAGAAGGAGCCCAGACTTTTCAACTCGAACAATCTCAATACATTGCTGTGCCGTGTGTTCCCTCGAAGATGTTTGTTTAAATGCTCCTGCAGAATGCTGAAAGATGTAATCATACATCTTTAAGAGGTTGCCCAATGGAAGCGTAGCACACAAGCATCCACAATCAAAGAAACAGAAGGAACTATTTGCTCCAGGTTGCTTGCAGTCGCTGACAAATCATTGTGGTGTGTGGGGTGAACTCAATGTGAAGAAGTGGAACAAGAGGATGATATTTTGAGACTTGAGGTTGTGACATAACTTTCTATAGTTATGCCTTTATCTCACAGATAATTAGTCTCTGTTGTGCAATGATTCAGTAGGTGCAATTTGTTAAGCTCAGGAATTTTTTCTTCTTCTTGTTAGACAATGTCAGAATCCCTGAAATGAAAAGAAAAGAAAGGATAAAATCTTGGAGAAGATGAGGGACCATGGTCACACTCTGTGGTCCTTGGAAGTTTTTGTCATTTCACAAGGACATGGCCCTGCACTCCAATGTGTAGATTGTGTCAGACAAAATCTTTGATCCTGAGTAGCAACCATATATAGCTGCAAAGTGGTGATGATGATGATGATGATCATAGAAGCAGTGGCATAGTTGCATCTCTCCTCCAGGTTGAATCAGGAATTTTAACTGCATATTTTAATCCCCAGAATCTGAGATATGATTGCAACACCTATCTATCTAAGTCTGGTCTTTTGTATTTTCTTTGATCCCTTTTGACTTTATTCAAGTGCTAACATCATTTCCTGGAGTCAAATTAAATTAACATGGTGTTGTAAACCTCCACTATCTTGTAGGATATCAAGATTCTGAAAGGCTAGTTAGGAAATGCTACCAAATGGGTGTGTATGACGTAAATCTGCATTCTCTAAATCTAGTGAAAAGATAGAATAAAATGGTTAGAATTGATTGATGTAAAATAAGAGAAAGACAAGCTTCTTATCCTTGTTTTCCTACCATATTTTGCCACCACCTTACGATGGTGGGTTTGCTTGGCTTCTTCCCCGATGACTGGATTGCCACCGCTTCCTTTCTTTGGATAGGACAAAGCAGCAGTCCCCAGAGGTCCAAACAACTTGAGCTTTCTTGGGCCTTGCATCATGCATCCATCTCTTTCACGATTCCATGTCCGACAAAGAATGCAGAGTTGGTGAGTGGCCTCAATTCTGGCACCGACTCACCCAACCTGCCGCAAAATCTCTCTCTCTCTCTCTCCGACAAAGAATGCAGATTTGGTGAGTGGCCTCAATTCTGGCTCCGACTCACTCAACCTGCTGCATAACCTCTCTCTCTCTCTCTC